CTCTGCACATAGCAGGGGGGTTGAAACTAGATGCTCATTGTGGTCCCTTTTCAACTCAGGTGATTCTATGAAGTCATTAAGCTATCCAGTAGAGAATCATAGTCGATTGTGTTGTCTTTTTTTTTTTTTTCGTGAATGTGTGTTTCATCTTCAGGAGGAAAATACTGAGCTCTGCATTGAATTTGCATCGTAACAAATCTAATCTGCTCTTAGCTTAATCACTGTGACACTTTGTTTCACCTGTTACCAAATTTTGAGATGTTGCTTGGATTCATATTTCTGCCTTTTCTCACTCTGTTCAAATGTCACAGATTTCTAAGTGCTGACTGCAATTATCAATATCTTTAAAATTGACACAGGGACATGAACTGACACCTGCAAACTGTATTGGACAATATATTTTGTTATCAAATCTGGCAGCCGAGACTTGTGTATTGCTTGAGCTTGCTGTTAAACAAACAAAAAACAACTAAAGCTGTGACAGTATAGTTTGGTGGAAATGTCACAGTGGAAACACTGATGTCAGGTCTGCATAAAAATACTGAAAGGATTATGGCAGCAATGGCTGCAAAATGATGTTTCATTTTGTACTGTACAGGAGAGATGCCAGTACAAGCCTAATGTATTTACACTTACGTATCTGACAAAATGTATTGGAAGGGTGAGACAGACATTCTTTTTTTTTTTTTTTTTTTTCCTCCCAAATGCATACGTTAAATAGTGTTCTATTAAAAATAATGTGAGCTTTAAAATGTACAAAATCATGTGCGTGTGTATACATGTGAGTATATGTATAATATTCAAGGAGCCAGACATTTGCTGGATATACATATGTTTTAAATACAAAGACAGTGAGTCCGAGATACTCAGCCAATGAGTGCTAGGAGAGGCTTCATCTGACTCAGAGAGAGGGTGTATAAAACAAAGCAATTCACTGACTAGCTGCAGAGTTTCCCTCTTGGCAGTAGGGGGTGTGCATCCATTATTGCAACAATGGATAAATTGCTCTTCAGAGATTTTTGCATGACTAGATCTTGAGTGTGTTTCTCACGGCGTCTGATGTAGGCGTCTGATGTAGGCGTCTGATGTAGGCGTCTGATGTAGGCGTCTGATGTAGGCGTCTGATGTAGGCGTCTGATGTAGGCTACCTTGGCTGATAATGGTGAACTGTGTTACCTGGTATCCTACACAGAGCAACAAATGATATTGTAAACTAGTGCATCAACTACTGCATGACCTAGTGTTATATATGTTGGGGAAATCTATGCTTATGTAGTTTTGAAGTACTCTGTGAGGTACTACTCGGTTGTCATTATAATATCATTAGAGCTTGTTTAAATAATATAAGTGAACTGGCTTGTTTTTTCTTTCTGTTAATAAACGTGCCACAAATTTGAAGGAATTTTTTATCTGAGGCTGACCTGAAAACCGCTGAAAATTGAAATTAAATATCGTTTAATAAAAGTGAAATGAAATCTGTAGTGGTAGGAAAAATGCAGCAACCTATCAATGATATTTCTGAAAAGGAATGAGAGAAAAAATAACAGTAGTAATTTAGGGATTTTGAGACCTTTTCTACAACTTAGTATGGAGAAAATCTTTTTTAGTCTACCAATTCGTTTTGTAGCCGTGGATTATCTGCTGGTATTCTCTAGGATGAAAGCGTGTATTATGTATTTTGACTGACAGACCATCAGTTGAAAACGGACAACATCCTCAGACATGTGATGAATGGGTAAAAACGCCTTTAAGCCAAGATTTAGGAGCCTTACAGAACCTTGTGAGATACAAAAAGCAGCAGATCATTACAAATTAATTGTAAGGGCTTTGATTTTTTTACTTTTCATTTTCCCTCTCAGCACTAGATATTCCTGGAGCACAGGATTTACATAAAGGGTCACCTTTCAAAATTAAGTGTAATTACCAAGTTTCTTTCACTTCAGTTTAGCCTTTGAAACAATTCCCGAGGAAAAACAATTTGTCTAGAAATGAATTCACTCTTTGGTTTTATTCCATTGAGGAAACAGCTATTTTATTATTTATATGGAATAGTGAGTAATATACAGAATTAAAAAAACAAACCAAAACAAAAAAAAACCTGTTCAACAATGTGTCTTGCTTGTTTGGATGAGTAATTACCTCACAGGATATTTCTGTTCATCTGAACTGTTTTCCGTAATAAATGAGGTACCAAAGATTTGACATCTGTGTATATATTTTTTTTTAGGATTTTTGAGTTTGGACTCAATCTTGTCTGGTGATGCGCTCATCTGAACTGAGTTTTCTTTTGCAGTGGCAGTCCATTGAGGTAACATAGAATGTGTTTACCCAGATGTCATAGGTGGATGTTGGTGATATGGCAGTAGATGTTGAACCTTCCCACTAACATCTCATTGCTGTGTGACTAATGGCAGCAGAGGGGCAGTCTGACAGAAGAGCATGTAAATGGAAGTGCATCTGAAGCAAAGGTGTGTTGTTGAATTCCTCCATGTGGAAACAATGAAAGCCACTGAGTTTGATTGGACATTTATGGAGGCAAAACTGGGGATGTGAGCACAGTGAGGCAGCGGATGGTACATTTTAGCAATAGCAGTGGCAATACGAAAAACACGCTACATTCCAGATGGCCATGCACAGCTGTCACACCCCAAGATGAAGAGCATCTTGATCAGTGCATCCATATGAATTGGCTAATTGTGATTACTGTGCTAGAAATAGTGTTCTGCAGTATTGTTATTGTGCTCCTCATATCTGTTTTAGTTTCCATGGAAATATTATGTAAATAGGAGGCATTACTTTCAGAGTAACCTATGTAAATATGAGCTTTTTGTGCATTAGAAGCTTTTAAAGTTCATGATTGCCAGAGTTGAGTATATCATCAGGATGAATTAAACTATCACAATTAGTCATTTTCCATAATTTGAGCCAAAGTAAAAATCACATGTATGATATCAAGCTGCTGTACTTGCAGGTAAAATATAGTAGCTTAAAGCACTGAAGCTAATTAAAACTGTCATATTTTATTTTTCTAGTGAGTTGAGCTAAGAGATCCAAAGCAATCAATTATTACACTGGCTGATGAGTGATAAATTGTTATTCTTTTTATTTGTTGTTGCTTTTTACTTTAGTTTTTTTTTTTTTTTTTTTTTTTTACTCATAAAATAGTTAACTGTATACGGATGGACAAATAAAATCACTACCTACAAGTTTTTTTGATTAGCAACACAGTAATCACAACCAATGTTTTATATATTATAATTTCAAATTAAGGCAGAAAGCATGCACTACACTATATATAGCTGTACTCTGCTTCTAATAATCTGTGAATGTTCATTCCTAACAAAGTCATACTATTACTGTTTGAGCTTGTTTAGCTTGGAGAATTGAAGGCTCTGGGGGGACATCACTGCAGCCTTCCATACTTGAAGAGAACATATAAGCAGGAGCAGGATCATCTTTTTAGACAGTCTAATAGTTATAGGACAAGGGGGAATGTTTTGGGGAGATCTTTTAAAGAGGGAAAATTCAGGTTAGATGTTAGAAAAGAACATCTTTGCTCGTGGGTGATGAGGTGCTGACAGACTGCCAAGAGAAGCTGTGGATGCCTCACCCTGGGAGCTATTTAAAGACCAGGTTGAATGGGGCCCTGGGGAGACAGATTTTGTGGGTTGCAGCTTTGCCCATGGCAGGAGAGTTGGAGCTCAATAATCTCTAAGGTCATTCTAGTCTAAGCCGTTCTGTGATTCCACAAATGTTATTTAAAAGAATGTATGAACTTATGATGTTAAAATGGTAAATACACCTATTGCTTGCCATGATTTTGACTTATGTAAATCAGATTTTCAAACAAGGTATGCACATCTTACAGATATTATGAAATTGTTTTCCTTTGGAAACATTTATTAACATGAACAGAAAAGCAACATCCTTGCATTATCATGGCTTTTTTTTAAAAAAAAAAAAAAAAATTATTGAATAGCAGCTATTAACAGTCCTTCTGAAGATCGAAAGCTCTTGTGAAGTTACACGCTGTTACTAAAGTTTATCAAAACTAAGCCTAATACAGGGTACTTCTGATGTAAGAAATTTGTTTCTCTTTTTTCCCTTTTTGGTACAGGGAGGTTATCTTACTAACAATAAGGTCATCTGCATGACAGGAGACGTCATAAAAATTGAAAGCTAATGTCCATGTCTTTTTTATGTGCATATGCTAACGTGCCTCTTGATTCTATCACAGGAAGCAGAATCAAATTGGAATTAAATGTCATGCTGTATTTTATTGCTTGTATGTGTTTGTTATGTATAACAAACTGCTAATTTATAATGAAAGTTTTAATTATTAAGAGTTTGAAAATCTGGAATTTTTAAGACATGTATCAACACTAGCTTTTAACTTTTTTTCAGACTTGTCCTCAGTTCTGTCTCTGACTACTTTGCTGCCATGTTTACAAGTGATGTTTGTGAAGCCAAGCAAGAAGAGATCAAAATGGAAGGCATTGACCCTAATGCATTATGGGATCTCGTTCAGTTTGCATATACAGGTATTGTAATGCATGCATTATACTTACCGCATTCAGAAATGCTGATATTTTTATGTGCTGCATGCAAGTAAATTACATCTATTTTCTAAACATTTTTTTAAAGAACATCAGTCATTCAAAACAATTATCAGTTCTAGGGCTAAATTCTAACATTCTCTTATACCTGATCTATTAAATATGTTGGGTGTATAAAGCACATGAGAACAGTCTAGAAAATGATATCTACCTCTTAGTTTTGAAATACATATAGAAGAGTGCCTCATGCATATGATTCAGATTTCATGAAGTCATTGAAGGAATACATATATTTTTGAAGATTACGCTATATTGCTGTTTTGGTTTTATTCCAGTTTACATACTCATATGGATCTTTTGAAAGTTTCTTGTTTAAGATCTGGGTGTTGTGATTCACTTTTCATATTATAAGCTGATACTTGGTTGTATAATGTTTCTGAATAGCTCGTAACTCAGAGTTAATAACTCAGAACTTTCTTCTGAATAGATGTTATGCTTTAATGCATAATAAACTTTTTTATCCTTCTTAAACAAGCTTTTATGCACAATGTATCTAAAGGGAATTAATATTGAAGAATACCAAGGTCACAAAATAATTAAAAGATAGGAAGTACCAACAAGATTTGTAGTCTGAATTTGTCTCACGTTGCATATAAATCATGCTGTTATAAAACACAAGCTACTTTCTGTTTCCTCAAAGACATCCTTATATTGTTTAAATTAATAATATTTTATCATAATTTTGCTATTAAGCATTTGATTTTAATTTCAATTTTAAATGGATAGTGCATAACCTTTAGTTTTAATCCTGTCTAAATAATAATTTAATCATAAGATGCTCTTTACTTTAAAATATTTGATCAGGATATGTGCTGTTTATTTTATTGCATATTAAGTGGTTTTTACTTTCTTAATAGGAACCAAGAACAACAAACGAATATAATCTAAGTTTAAAAATGTTCGTTTTTGGGAATCATATTTCAGAAGCTTAGATAATAGGAATGTCAGACCATCTTCAAAGGACAGTGTCTACTGCATTTAATTTTCAATTTGCTATTCAGGACAGTATGTCATCCAGGAGATCTCAATCTAGGGATCCATGAGATGAACAAAACGTAAGCACTTCTCATCAAGCATGAGAAAGATGCAATCACATTACTAGGTATGAGTGTAAAATGAATATAATAGAAGTACTGGGGCAAAATCAAGAATATCTTTGGACAGAATAGCAAAAGACATTACAGGAAGATGAATGACAGTGTTGCTCCAGTGGGAGCAAAACTCTGGGAATACTGAAGTACAGTGTGGCTCTCTTAGCTCAGATTTCAATGAAAAGATTGCAAATAAATACAGTCATAGTTCAGAAACAGCAAATGGTAAAATTTAGGCATAGATGAACACACTTATATATCTATTTCTGTTGGGTGCGTATAGAATTTGTTAATTGTATTAAATATTATGAATTCTACAGTTTGCCCAAGGAGCTAGGTGTAATTGTCTTGAAGATATGCACCCTGAAACATTTACTTTCATGTATAGTTGTTGCTGTTTTAGAGAAGATTTTCCCCGAGGATGACTGAACACTTCACTCAAATATACATGAACGTGGGCTTGTTTGCAAAACTTTAGAAGCAAAGAGTATTATTACATTGCAGATATTTTTTTTAAATGTGATTTTTAAAAGTGAACCATTTTATATTATATTAGCTAACAGATACTATTTTTAGCAAGTCTCTGAATTTATGATCTGGCCCAAAACAGAGTCTTTTTAGCTCACAGTTACAGAACACACTTAGAGAGGGAGAAAACAGAGTTTTCAAATCAAAAAACAAAACAGTGTTAATAAAAATGTCAGAGAAAGTGAATACATTGTATGTATTTCAAAACCAAGGCTATTTTCCTATACTTACATTGGCTATTATCCAAAACTTACATTGGAATTTATATTTATGTAAAAAAAATTCTGATCAGTTCAGAAATTCTTCACACCATTATATTAAAGATAACATTTGGCTAAGATAATACTAGCTTCTATAAGCATTTCTATCACTCTTGGCAGCTTGTTTGTTGAATACTTCGAACAGTCTATATTAAGTTTTTATTTTGAAGGAAAATTGTTCAGTCTTCATTCATCTTATAAAAAAAAAACGTGGAGTAACAAAATACTGAGCTTTTCTCTTATTTAATAATCTCAAGAAAGTTTTCCTAATTTTTTTTCACTTTTGCACCTATTTAGATAAGTATAATTTTATAAATGCATACCTTATATACTTATATTTATATATGAATATCATATATATATACATACGTACATACATACATACATGCTTCAAATATTTTTGCAGTTTAAAAAAAAAAAGACCATGGCAGGAAAACAAACAAAAAAACTTCTCTGCTAGCCTATGAAATAAAAGCTATATTAATATTCAGAATGTGTATTTTTCTTTTTTGTGATGAAGCTGTGTTCCTTTAATTATTATCATTATATACAATGTCTTGAATGTATATGTAGAGAAAAAAAGAATGTATTCTCTTTGCCAATTGTGTGAAGTCAGGATTATATCTAATTTGCAAAGGAAAGTGAATATTTTAAACTCTAATCAAATTCAGGAGGAGGTTGCCATCTGTGAGGAATTGGCATATTAAATAAAGCTAATGTTTCAAATTAAGTCATGGTTTTGAGACTATACATGTGAGTAAAGTTGGACAAATGCTTAAGATACAATGTTCATTTAATTTTATTTGCTTTGCTTATAGCTGTGTTGTTTATCTTTTAAAATAGGCAGCACTTGCAGACTTCTTTTTTCTTCTTAAACAGATACTATTCTATTAAAGAAATTGCCTATAATAACATGAAATACATTATGTTGCGCTCTCTCTCTCTACCCCTGAATATATAGAAGACCGAGTCCTGACACACTGTGAAACTGGACTGTGTTCATTCGTGTATGCAAATAGACTTGTAAATAATTTGCAAGGTAAAATTACCAGTAGAGCCAGTAGAATATTAAGTCCTGTACAGTCTTGATAAGAGCTGCTCCTAAATAAAGGCACATGTCCATCTAGAAGTAGTAAAAGGAAAACAAGAAAATTAGTCTTCCAAAATGGTATGGTAAAGAGTATTAAAGTTTCTATGAAGAAGCAACATCACTAATTCTAAAAAATGGTATGTTAGATGCTATCTGTAAAACACAATTTAATTAAAACTGAAAACTTGTGATATCTTAACACGTTATAAAGGCTGTTAGATGGGCTTTGAGTTTTTTTTAAACTGTTTTTTGTTTGTTTGTTTTACATAAAAGGAGAACTAACTGAAGAACTTGATTTTATAAAAAAGATAGTTCAATACCTGTATTGTTTTATCTGAAATAAGTAAAAGGCTTTCTAAATGTATCAAATAACAATGTACTTGCACTTTGTATCATTAAAACTGTGTATTGTGTAGTTTTATTAGAAGCACACTGTATCGTTTCTTACTGCTTTCTCTTAATATCAATTACTTATTCTTCAATATCAGCACTAGCTTTTAATTGGATTTTATTTTGAAAGCTCTTTAGTGGATGGCCTTTCAAATATCATATCTGACAGTGTTAAATCTAATCACACACACAGGAGAGACAACAGGGATAGTAAGAAAGAAACTACCTTTAAGCACAGGAGCGCTTAGGTTTCCTTAGAACAGAATACATTTTAAGCAGATATCCCAAGAAGGCAGAGGGTTTTTTTTTTTTTTTTTTTTTTAATGAGTGAAAACTACTTCCTAAATGATTAAAGGCTATAAAGTATACTTAGCACAGTTTTGGCACATACCATTTTATAGTCTTTGAAGATATTTCTTCACACAATCCAGAATCAATCACAGCCACAGGATCATTCTTCAACATGCAGTTTAAATGTTTCTGCCATGGTTTGGAGGACAGCAGAAACATAGGCCATTTCAATCCACTTATCTTTAGTGTCAGAGGGAAGTCCCAGACAAGTTTAATTTAATAGGCATTATTGAAGACAGATAATTACAGATTCTTAGGTGATAACAGCTTGCTTGCAGTGTTATAAGCTAATCCACTCTAGGAGATACTCATTGTAATGAAATCTGGATTTATCCCTGTTACTGTGCATATCCTGAAGATCACTGCCTCTGCTTATATGTCATGCAGGATGGCATAAATCTCTAATAAACATCTGTATGTAGAAGATCACCTGTGAAGTTATCTTTGGGGAACTAAAACTTCTCATTAACTAATTTTTAGGAGTCATTGACAGAAAAGAGAATTGCAAATAGCCAGAGCAGCCTTGTTTATCAGAATTTCTCCAATTTAGAAAGTGGAGTTCTGGTAGTAACTTGCAGAGTCATGTTTGAGAGTGTCTGTCCATGGATGTTCTGCATTGACTACATCCAAGATCATATATACCTTCGTTCCAGCTACATTCTTCCCAGCTCTGGCACAACTGACAAGGTTCACATTTCCATATAGTGTTCCTCATTAGGTTCTTACTTAAGCATCACTAAAGCCTAAGTCCAACACCAAGGAGCATTTCTGGGTGGCATAATTAGCTATACTTTTTATATGTACAATGACAGAATCTTCCAAAGTCCCTCATTATAGTTGTAGGACTTAACTGTCATCCACCTCTATCTACGGATGTGACCCTACTTGTAATTCAGTACTTTCCTATACTTAATGTCATTTAAGTTATGGACTTTCACTTAGTTCAGGTCTGTGAGAAAGATTGTCATAGAATTAATGAGAGAATGATTTTCTCCTTTATTTATTTATTTTTTTTTCCTGCTCTGTGGGTCCTGTGTCCAGCTGGACCACAAATCTTCCATTCCTGTAAATGAAAAATTAAGTTCTTGCTCTATATGTACATGATAAAACAAATAGAATACTCCATCAAGAAACAATATTTGCAATTGTGCATAAGGAACCAGTTCTCATTCTTTTGGCACAGTTCTTGCTTGGAAGAGAGCTCTGAACTGGATA